TAATTGAAGGTGAGTCACGTAAATTTATGTTTTCATAAAACAAGTTCAGGCTAAGAGAAAGAACACATGATAATACACACACACCAACTCTTTGTAGCTTCAACCTTACAGACTGAAATGATCAGAAAGTATACAATACAAAATGTCCTGATGCATCTCAGTAATCCAGGTAAAAAATCAAAAGGAAAAAAAATTGTATAGGTCCTCTGGACGGGTTCTTCTTTAATGAAACGTTTCATCTCTCTTCCAAGAGAGACTGAAGAAGTCTCTTGGAAGAGAGACGGAACGTTTCATTAAAGAAGAACCCGTCCAGAGGACCTATACAATTTTTTTTCCTTTTGATTTTTTACCTGGATTACTGAGATGCATCAGGACATTGAAGCAACTTACTATTAACTGTCGAATAATGATTTATTAGATTAAAATTCCTTTCATTCGATTGATAGTCTATGTGCCATAGCTATTCGTGACGTACTTCCTTTAAAATTCAGGCCACGAACCTCACTTCCTGTTCCTGCCTAGTGCRTGTTGTTTTTAGTATTGGCTCCTAGAACTAGACCAAGAAAAATTCACAAAAGTTAAAGCATCTGCGGGCTAAAGGTACAAAATTGAGTTCTGTTGTGTGCCATTGTGTTGACTAACGAGCAGGTACTATAGAGTAGTTAGTTTTTCTCCATTCCTGTTGATGAGGACTTAAGGCCACAACAATGGATCGTGATTATACTGTACGTAGGGAAAACTTAGCTATAAAAGCTCACAATTTCTTAGACCTCGCTAGTGTTTCTTGTATTAGCATTGGGAAGGATGGGGCTGCTTATAAACAAGCAACATTACTGGTTAAAAGAGAGTACAGCTTTAAGTAAAGGCAAACTATTATGGGGGTCCTAGACAGGGGTGGAGCTTCAGGGGAGGCTGGGAGGGTGGCACGCCCCCAGCCTGGGCCAATATGGGGCCCAGAGTCTGGACCATGTTGGGTCCAGAGGGAGATAGAACTTAATCCTTTTTTTACACCATGCTGTTCTGCTCTGGTCAGACCTCTGCAGTAAATATTCAACCATTATAATCAAGGACAGTGTTTACACTGCTCCTCATGATGGTGCAGGGCAGCGAGCGGACCGAGATCAGCCAAAATTAGATTAATCTTTTGCCCGACGCCGGAGCTGCTCCCGAGTCAAATCACAAAAATTACACTGCACCAACAGGAAGAAGAACAGGCACTAATTCTGTATTTACAAAATCATTCCCTAAAGAAAGAGCAATTCTTTCAAAATGTTTGTTATATTAATAATTGTATGGGTATATTTATACATAAATGCAGTCAAACTGCATCATTATGATTAGTAAGAAGATGAAAACATGCAGCTTGCAACATATTCATACACACATGATAGACGTGGATTTTATTCTGAAATCAGAAGTTTCAAAAAKTCAACATTGATGCAGGTTCAACTGTGTTCAGTCCGTCTTCCACACAATGACTTGTTTTGCTCAGACTTCTACATTTATCACTGGATTTATTGTCCGATCTCGCATTTCCTGCACCTTCTTCTCCGAGCTCCTCCGAGTACGGGACGAGACCGAACCGGTTCGGAGGCAGTATGGAGCCGACCCTACCACACCTGAGGCAGGTGGAGAAAGTGGGCCCTCCCTGAACGCATCCAGAAGAGCCCAGTCTGCTTTTATTTAGAACCCCTTCCAGGGACCAGATAACAAACATGTTTTGCRGATCTGGTAAAAAAGCTTYCATCCAGCAGTAATTTCAGTGAGGTTTGCACCGCGCTCTCTTTATTTTTGATTCTTCCAGTCACCGTTTCAACCTCTGAGCACTCGTTAAAACTCACCACTTCGTACATGTCAACACCTTTGGTTGTTTACCTGTATAATGAGCTTCAAAAATCCATACTTTTAGCAAAAAAAAGAAAAATCCGTATTGATTAGGGCTGCGTATCAATTCAGATTTCCCAAATCGATTTGATTCACAGCGATTCAGGATGAYTCACAGTTCAGTTTGATTGATTTCTAAATTATTTAAGGAAATCATGCAGTAACACATTTACTTTGATATAGAAGACATTCTCAAAGGAAATAATTCTGCAAATAGTAGAAACTAATTCTAACTTGGTGCATTGATAAAATTATAAACATAAAGGGCAAACTT